TGTGAAACCTCTTTGACAAAAAACAACCACAACAACAACAACCACAACAAGGAAATGGTCATCTCTTCTCCCACATGCCTTGAAGAACCGCCATATGCATTTTAAATGTCCAGGGTCAGGGTGGGGACAGCGAGTGGACACAGATTCCCATCCAATGGGCTTGGAAAAAAGAACAGGCTGCTTTCCATACCCATCTGCACCCGCACCAACACGGCTAGCTCATCGCGTGTTTTGGTGGTAGAAAATCACAGTGGCACCCACACCTGCCAGTGGGGTATCCTTTTTCCTCGTCTGCCTATTTTTGAGGTGTTATAATTTCTTGACAATGCCAAATCAATAAACCTAATTTGCAGCAACATACCACATTACAGCATTTTATATCACACTTCCAAGAAGCAGCAGTCTAAAATCTTGACAATTGAAACCACATACCAACTCCTGACATTTAGATCTTTTCCAGTAAAAAATATAATGCTTTTTTTAAAACATAGAATATGGTTTCTCTCTTCCCTACTTCTGGCAATAGCAACGTCACCTCAAACAGTCCTTTAGACTTAACATGCTGTAGCTAACATCTTAGATTCTTTCTTCTTCTGTGTACCTCTTTCTTATCAGGCACCCAGTTTGATGACGTCTTCAGAATGTCTTTTATTCCATTTCCAGTGGCTTTATCTTCCTCGAGTGATCAGTCGTTTCGGACCCAGATTATCCATCCTTTTCTTATTTTCCGTACTACAGCTCATCTCCACCAACTGTAATTTATTCTACTTAAACAGCACCTGATTGGTCTTCAGAAAACCGTAATTTTTCATTTCACTCACCCAAAGCTTTCAAAGGTTGATTCCCACTGTTTCAATTTGGCTTTCCCCTTCCTCCAGCCTCTCTAATCCAGCTTTTCAAGAGGCTCTCTCACCTTTCTACAGTGCAGTGAGGGAAAGGACTACGCATATACCCTCAAACACACCACACAGAGGCCTCACACCACACTTCCTTCATATACCACCCCAGTGGGAAGATGCTTCCCATCCCTCTGTACTTAGCAAGTCACACTTGTCCTCCCAGGCTCATCTCAAATGCAGCCTCCTCCATAAAGCTCCCACATATTCCTGCCTGCAAGAATTCCTCTCTCCTCTGAATGTCTCTGTCTACTTTCTCCCCAGATTTAATCTGTGCATTCAGATGTATCCTTTCCATATTTTTATTATCCATTCATATATATACACACACACACACATATAGATACATAAGCATCCATATACATATACACATGTATTTTTTCTTTATATAATTGCTATCATAATAAATATTGTTATGTGACTTGCCTCTTTCTACACTACCATGTATGTTAGAGATCTGATCCTATGACACCTGGAGGATAATGCGTGGTTATTTCTTTTTTGTACACATGTATTTTTCAATTTTTCTTTTTTAAATTTCAATCGATTTATTTATTTACTTTGAGATCAGGCTATGAAACCGGCTAATTTTTCTGGTTTTGGTAGAGACAAGGTTTCACCATGTTGCCAAGACTGGACTCAAACTCCTGGGCTCAAGGGATTCATCCACCCTCAGCCTCCCAAAGCACTGGGATTACAGGCATGAGCCACTGCACCTGGCCCAAATTTTCGACAATAATCACATATAGACTTTCTAATGGTACACGCAAAAAATGTCATTCACAGACCATAAAAGCAAGCAGATAGAGTTGATTTCAACATAAAGGATCATGTTCTCAACTTTCTATCCAGTAGGAAAAAAAAAGATAATTTTAATGATTATAAAAATAGATCATGGAGAGCACAAATAGCTTATCCATAACAATAATCATGTTTTTGTTCAGAATATATTTAAGGACCTACTAAGCTCAAAGGACTCTGATTCTCAAGTGCAAAAATGAATTAGCCCCAATTCCTCCATCAGAGTGGCAGCTTATACAAGTTTGCAGTAGGGCACTAAGGCATTTTGTGTTTCTTTCCTTGAAGCTCCCCTTGCAAAGAAAAGACATCTTTTCAAAGAATTTCATTTGACAGCAAGGCCGACCTATTAACCATGATGTTATAGACAAGAGTCTATTGTTATGCAATGTATTTAGTTAATTGCTTGATTTTAATATTTATAAAATGCTATTTTAGGTGCTTTTGAACTTTCAAAGCACTTTCATAGCTATTACCCCATGTTGCATTCTCAATAGTCCTTGTGGTAAGTTGAGCATCCTCATTCTGTTGATGGTAAAACAGACCTAGGTAGTCATGTGACCTTGCCCTAGCTCACCCAGTTAGCAAGGCGGCAAAGGAGACGGGCTGGCTTCTAATCCCATGCCTTTCCCTGAACTAAGCCAAGGAATTAAGCCTTTTTTTTTTTTTTTTTTTTTTTTTTTTGACAAGAAAGATTTAGTCCTGGTCCCAGAACAAATTTTAACATTAGAACTATGTTATGAATAGGTGGCATGGTGAGAGCCTGGTGTACAGTGAACTCTGTTTCATGGTCCAGACCGTGTGGCACACACCAAGCCTTTCAGTCCATCTTGTCCGCGACTATCCTGGGTAACTCGGAACCAGGAAAGAGATTTGTTCAAGCACATTCCACTTGGCAAGCACAAATAAATTTATTCAATTGTCTATATTCTAAAACTATCCAAGCAACCACACCATCACATAAATAAAAGACGTCAAGTTAGTAACAAACCTGTAAGTTCAGGCACACGTAATGCTCAGAAAACACTGATTTTCCTATCTGATCAAATGCTGAGAATGAGTGGGGGTAGGGGACATTCACACAAAAGGGACCATCTGTTACTTATTTAAGCCATCCTTAGACAAGAATATATTACTTTTCAGAGAGAAAAATATTGTTCTTTCCAGAGGAATAGGAATGTGATATAAACAATGAGATGAGATAAAGCTGTTTATATCAAAGGGTGAATCAGATTATAACACTGAAAAATAGTACACATTTCCTGTTATTGCTGCTATAAGTAAAACAGTATTTGAAAGACAAATTACCATGTTACTATTCTTGAAAATCCCAGGCTCTCGTATAAGTAATGACATCTTGGGTACACAGGAGACTAACCAAGTGCAGACATATCTCTATCTACATAATTTAAGGAGGAAAAAAAATCAATCGTTTCTCCTTCAAGAAAGAGAGTACTTTTTCCTGTAAAACTTAAAGAACCCAGAAAAGTTTATATTTAATACAAACAAAAACTGCAAATAGCGCAGGGAAGATATGAGTGGCACGCATGCCCAGAGGGGCTGAAGTCCAGCCTAGTTCTAGAGGCCATGCTCCGGGTCATAAACAGCAGGCAGGAAACTGGCGGTCCCCAGACTTGAAGCGCCTGCAGCAGTTCGCCAGCCCTGAGGGACCTCTGTGATACAGGGCAAGGGGGAGTCGCAGCCTCACCTGGGGCAGGTGACAAAGAAGCTTTCTAGTGTAGATCACACACACACATACACACACACACACATATACACGCACACAAGCAGCCACACACACGCACACAGTTGGCCTTCTTCATCCATCCTGCCACCGGTTCTCTCATGTGGACCTGTGTACCCATGGAAACCACCCTGGGTCCCAGTATGAACAGACACTGGGCACTGTCTCGGCAACAGCTCAAGAACAGGCCCCAGCTCACCTGATCTCACCTCTTAGCAACTCTCTCATTTTCCGAAGGTGAGCGGCAATGGCAGCTACAAGCCTAAGGCATCTGCCCTTCTCTAAATCCAGCGAGAAGCTGATCAGAGTCACCTTCTCACCTGCTGGCAACCAGGGTAACATCTATGTCTCCAAACTCAGAACGAGAAGCATGCAGCCAAAACCGCCTTGAATGACAGCCAAGCACAGAGCCTGCCCACTAAGCCCTGTTCCCGTGTGCCCCAGACGGAGGGGCTTCCCAGGACAGGGGCTTCCAGGACTAACACAGGAAAGTCCCAGGCAAACCAGAGCTGCCAGTCACTCTTCTGGTGTTTTCTCTGGGCCTTGGCTCCTTCTGTCTGCTCACCTACAGGCCCCGCTCCAAGAGGCTGCTTTAGGAAGCCCCAGGCCATCAGGGTCTGATCGACTTTTCTTTGAAAGTCCTTAACCTCTTCTTGTGTAAGTGAAGTGTGGTTTGAACGGTTAGGGTTGCTTTGGGTACACCTTAAATAAGGAAAGTCATTCATAGGTCTAGAAAGGAAGCCATACTTCTCTTTTCTGGCTGGATTTTGGTTTCTGGTTTTGTTTTTGTTTTGTTTTGTTTTGTTTTTTTCTGTTTTGGCTGGATTTTGGTTTCCGGATTTTTTTCTTTGGAGACAGATTCTCACTGTGTCACCCAGGCTGGAGTGCAGTGGCACCATCTTGGCTCAATGTAACCTCCTCCTCCTGGATTCAAGTAATTCTCCTGCCTCAGCCTCCTAAGTAGCGAGGATTACAGGTGAGTGCACCACCAGGCCCAGCTAACTTTTGTATTTTTAGGAGAGACTGGGTTTTACTATATTGGTCCAGCTGGTCTCGAACTCCTGACCTAGTGATCCTTCTGCCTCGGCCTCCCAAAGTGCTGGGATTACAGGCATGAGCCACCATGCCCAGCCTCGCATTTGCCTTTTTTTTAAGGCCATTATTTAGTACTCAAGTGAGAGATGTCAGGAGAAAAGGTGAGGGAATTGCAGGCGAGCGTGGAGAAGGGGGTTGGCAAGGTTTGGAGATCTTGGTTTCTTCATTAGTCATAGGCCTGAGCAGCACATCAGTGCTTTCAAGTTAAAGGTAAGACATGGAAGATAATGTATCCTGTTGAATCTATAGGGATAATTAAGAGCTAATTAAAAATAGAATGATCCAAATTGGGACTGAGGAAACACACTGGCATTAACCTCCTTGCCCTGAGAGAAGGTGCCGTGAGAGTTCGTGGTCGGGTTTACCACTTACTTAACACTCCACCTCCGCTTGTTCCTAACCCCCTGAGAAATCGGCTCATTACTGACTCAGAGGGATGAGCGCCGAGTCCTGACTCACCGGCAACCACTTCCTGCAGAAATCCTCCAGCCCTGTTAGAAATGGCTCAGCCAAGGGGACTCATCTCCCCAAACCCAGGGAACCAAGACCTACGAGAGACCACAGCGTGAAGTGATGGATGTGCCATGTGCACAGGATTCATGTGGTGGCTCTAACCCTCCAACATCTTCAAACCTTGCCGACCCCCTTCTCCACCCTCACCCGCAATTCCCTCACCTTTTCTCCTGACATCTCTCACTTGAGTCCTAAATAACGGCCTTAAAAAAAGGCAAATGTGAGGCTGGGCACGGTGGCTCATGCCTGGAATCCCAGCACTTTGGGAGGCCAAGGCGGGTGGCTCACATGGCCAGGAGTTCGAGACCAGCCTGACCAACGTGGTGAAACCCTGTGTCTACTAAAAATATAAAAATTAATCAGGCGTGGTGGTGCGTGTGCCCGTAATCCTTATGCTCCTTAGAATAGTTCTTGCAGTGTTCATTTTAGAGACACGTAATGGAGAGCAGTAGGGAAATAAATACTTGCCTGGTCCTTCCCCACTTCCCTAATCCATCTGTCTCCCTTGCTATGTCTCCACACCTTCTCCAGCTAGGACAGCAGAGGTACCCAGACATGGTTATGAACTCCACGTGTGTCCCTGGTGGACACTGCTGGACCCAGCATGCATGCTTCTCTGAACCCCCATTGCCAGTGGGGAGCATGAGGCAGCTTTCCCACACAGTGGGTGAGAACCAGGGTTAAGGCCATTGTGTGGGAGGCGTCTGTGTGGCAACGGCGGGCATCACTGTGAGTAGCCCAGGTCACATGTGTCTGCTCTGATCTTTCTACATCTCTTCTTCCCGCTCCACTCCTGCTGTCTAATTTAATTCCTCTTTTGTCTGCTCCTTTTGGGAGACAGTGTGGCATCGTAGAAAGACTGAGCATGGGGAAGAAGAGGCATTCTGAAGTCACCCCGATTTGTGTTTAAATGATCACCCTGACTACTGCTATAGCATGAATGTTTATGTCCTCCACCCAAATTCATACGCTAAGACCTAATGGCCAATGGGATCGTATTAGTAGGTGGGGCCTTTGGGAGGTGAGTGGCTCATGAGCGCAGAGCATTCATATCACATAAGTGCCCAAAGCCCTGTGTACAGTAGCAAAGACCTGGAACCAACCCAAATGCCCATCAATGATAGACTGCACAAAGAAAATGTGGTACATATACACCATGGAATACTACGCAGCCATAAAAAATGATGAGTTCATGTCCTTTGTAGGGACTTGGATTAATCTGGAAACCATCATTCTTGGCAAACTGACACGAGAACAGAAAGCCAAACACCGCATGTTCTCACTCATAAGTGGATGTTGAACAATGAGAACACATGGACTCAGGGAGAGGAGCATCACACACTGGGAGCAGTTAGGAGAGGTAGGGGAGAGACAGCGGGGGGTAGGGGGGTGGGGAGGGATAACATGGGGAGAAACGCCGGATATAGTATGCACCTAAAGTAAAATAAATTGATTAAAAAAAAAAAAAGAGAGAGAGGCCCCGGAGAGTCCCCTTGGACCGGCCACCCTGTGAAGTGTAGAACAGTGAGAGGGCCACCTGTGGGCCAGATCGTGAGCCTTCCCAATTGTTCCAGCACCCTGATCATGGGCTTCCCGCCTCCAGAATTAGGAGAAAGAAGTTTGTTTTTCCTGAGCCATCCACTTCAAAGTGTTCTGCCATCGCTGCCCAAATAGACTAAGACATCTACCTAACCTTGGTCAAATGTTCGGCCTCGGAGTCCACACCTGTAAAATGATGCCAATAACACTGTGTATTTCCTACGTTTATGATCAGGATTAAGAAATGTAATTTATTCATCAGAAATTAGTAATTTCTGATTATTAATTCTACAATGCTTGATACTTGATTGAGGCTTATTTAATATTTGGATCTCTTTTCTTTACTTTTTGCTCTTTCTTTCTGCTTTTCCTCTTCCCCTTTTCCTATTGAAATAGAATGCAGAGGACAAAGCAAACAAGCAAAAAAACTCCTGGAAGAAGCACAGAATTTCAGACCTAGAAAGAAGCTGAAAAATTATCCATTCTGCTCTCCTCATTTTACAGATGAGGGCATGGAGCCTCAGAGAAATGAACTTGCCCATGACCACACAGCAAGTGAGTGGGGGACTCGTGACCCAAGACATTTTTTTCCAGGCTCCCTTGTACCACATCACGCTGCAGAAAACCCAGCAGATGGGAAGAGCTGAGGCATGTGGTTACCATTTCTGTATTACATCCAACTCGTATTTCATTTAGAAAATGTATTTCTAGAACTTTTTTAAAAACCTGAATGATTTCAATTGAAGTTTTTCAAAACTAGGATGACTACTACTTCTAATTGATATCAAGTTCAAATTTTTAACATATTTTGTTTAATTTTGCCCCTCCCCTGAAAATATCCAAAGTATTGAATGCCCAGGTTTCCTGTTTGGAAAAGCCCAAGGATCTGAGCATATTCTGGGCTACTCTTGCCCAGCACCCAACCAGGGTACTGGACCTGGCCTGATGCTGCTCTCTGCTGCTGCCCAGCTCTTCCACTCCACCCGCAACACTGTACCCAGTTAATCATTAGGGCCCTTTTCTCTGTACAATTCTGTAATATAATTCGATAAAATAATCCATGCTAACAAAAGTCTAGAATGGAAGGTGCCTGCTATGGTTTGAATGTGTGTCCCCTTCCAAATGCATGTTGAAATTTAAGCCATATTAAAAAGTGGGACTTTTAAGAGGTAATGAGGCCATGCGGGCCCCGCCCTCATGGGTGGGATTGGTGCTGGCATCAAAGAGTGAGTTTAGCCCCTCTCGCTCTCTCTTACCTTCTCGCCTTCTTCCATGTGATGTTACAGCAAGAAGGCTCTCGCCAGATGTCAGCACCGTACTACTGGCCTTCCCAGCCTCCAGGACTATGAGCCAATACATTCCTGCTCATTGTAAATTACCTAGTTTCCGATATTCTGTTACAGCAGCACAAAACAGACTGAGACACTGTTTAACTCACTCCTCACAATCCTGTGTTGTTCTAGGAAAAATCGCATAATTTAACTATCACTCTTTAGTCACTGTTAAACATTTGTCAATGTTTAACAATGGCATTTGTCAACGTCCCTCCTCTATCCCTCAGAAAGAGGCTTTCTCAGTAGAAGAGGCGGGGGATGTTGGGTCGGGGAGAGAGCTGGGAGTGCTTTGGTTTTTCTCAGTGGTACATTCGTGTGGTCCCTCTGTTCCCAGTGCCTCAGCCTCTGCTTGCCTACTCCTGCGTTAGGCCCTGTGGTCATGAATTCTTTCGTCAAATAACTATTCCCAAAAACAAGCATGCATGACTAAGCACGAGACAATGGCAGTGATGCCAGTGTGTGTGACTTATCTCATCTACCCAGCGTGACAGCTTGACACTTCAGGGGGAGAGTTTCACCATCAATTCCCAAAAGAAAGAATTTAGAGTAATGAACATTTACGTATGGGTAGCCCTGTGATGTCTCTGACAACACCCCTCATTTGGCCAAATTCTCAGACTCAAAATGACAGCATTGGCTCTGCGTGCTTTCTGGACTCAGAGAACCTACAGTACCGAAGCTCCAGTTTGGGGAGTACCTCGTCATCCATGTAAGTACAGTTCTGAAAATTATCGTAAAATGTGTTATACAAAGAATGGGGTAACGTCTTGCTGTAAATTGTCAAACCAGCTAATCCAAATATACATTCACTCATTCATTTTTTTCAGTCATTCATAACACAGCTGTACAAAGGATTATCAATGGGTTTTTAGAGTTACAGAAAAACAGAATCTTAGCTCCACCACTTAACAGTTTAATATTCTGACTCCAGGAAAGGTACTTGACAATCTGATCCTCAGTACCCATCATCACTTGAAAAAAAAAATGGGAAAAAAATACCACTTCATAGCTTGGTTGTAAAGATTCAGTAAGGTAATGCACGCAAGTGCCTAAAACAAAACAGTCACAGAATGGAGGTAGGAGCCTTACCGTAGATTCCAACATAATGGTGTCAATCAGCAAAGTTTCATCGGATCAAGGCACAGACCAATTTTGCATGATGCTGGGATTTGATGTCTAGAAATCCATTTTCTTCTTGCATAAAGGTTTCCTCTTAGTCTGTACTTTGCTCATGTTCAACGTTTTGGCATTTTTCTAAGCTCCCCAACCTTAGGGCTCTTTCTGGTTTCTCACTAAATGTTGGATTAATGAACCATTGCTGGTTAAACCACCTCATCCTCTCCTCAGGCCCAGTACAAACAGTAGAACCAGGTACTGAAGCCATCATCCCACTGTCTTCAGCACAATGAGTCCTGTGAGTCTAAGCTCCCAGGAAAAGAGTTGCTTTTGGCTGCAAAGGGCATATAATAGCAGCTGACAAGTAAACACAGCCATCTTATGCTTTATGACTTTTGAAGGTTCTCAATATATTTACTCAGTCAAAAAATTGACCTGATTAGACATCTGTCTCAAAAAAAAAAAAAAAAAAAAAAAAAAGGCAGCTAAAACAAGCAGTGCAATATGCATGGGGTTTTCACTTTGTGGCCCTAGAGAGTAAACTTAAAAGGCAATTTACTTCTCTCTTTCTCATTTTCAAGAAGAAATGAGGCCCAGAAAGGTTGGGAATTTGCCAGGATGAGATAGCTACTGGAGCGGCTAGATTTACCCCTACTCATGATTCAGATTAAACAGTTACTTAGGATACCCCAAAGTCATCTCTGTACTTCAAAAGATTAAGTGCTTGTATAGACGATATCACATATTCCACTACAGCAGTTTAATGATTTCCTGATGATATATGATACGTCCCAGATTATCACTAAAAGCCATTTTAGATTTTGACAACTGACACAATCTGGAAGCCAACAGCAACTCTTGGAATTGGAGTCTAGTTAGCACATGCCTGGCCGGAAGCCACAAGTTGACATTCTCCAGTGGTTTCTCAACTGTCTGCGTGGCTAGCAGTCCCCATGATTACATGGCTCAGAGATTGAATGAGGAGGCATCAAAGAGTTTGCCCTACGTCTGTCTACACGCTGAAATCCAATATCTTCTTTTCTGAAAAAAATAACACACGTATATGCTTAAAAAATAAATTCAAATAGAATAAAAGGGTAGTGGATTAGTCAAGATTCTTCAGACAAATAGAACCAATAGTACCTGTATATCTATAGCTATATCCATATCTATGTATACAGGCAGATGTATTTTAAAGAATTGGATCATGGGATTGTGGGGGCTGGAAATCTGGAATCTGTAGAGCAAGCCAGCAGGCTGGAAATTCAGGTACGTGTTGATATTGCAGTCCTGAGACCAAATCTGAAGGGCAGCCAGCGGGCTAGGAACTCAAGCAGGGTTTTTATGCTGCAGTCTTAAGGCAAAACTCCTTATCTTCAGGAAACCTAGGTGTTTGCTCCTAAGGCCTTCAACTGATGGGAAGGGGCCTAGCTTGTAAAGGGTAATCTGCTTTTCTTAAAGCCAACTGCTTGTAATTGTTAATCACATCTTAAAAATTCCTTCACAGCAATATGTGGACTAGAGTTCGATGAAACAGCTGGGCACCATAGCCTACCCATAATTTTAGGTGATACATGAAATTAGCCATCGCAGAGTAAATAAGGAGAAGGGCACCACATCCCACTTCAGATCCTTTCTTCCTTTCCCTAGAGGTAAGCTCTTCAAGTGGCCAAACCCATCTTCCCAGGGAAGGGCACTGGTTCTATTTGCATCCGAATGTTTATGTTTGTCAAAAAGCACCAGACTTCCTCTATTCTTCACATTTCTGCAGTCCTTACTCTGCGCCAGGCCTTCTGTTCAGCACTTCGCTGGATTTCCTCCTGCCGGTCCTTTCCGACGCCCAGACATGCAGTTACCATTCTGTCCCCTTTTTACAGACGGGTCAATGGAGGTGCAGTGAGAGTGAGTGATATTAACATCCTTTCCGCTGAATGAATTTGATGACAAGAAAGGTTCGGTCTGCTCTGGAAAAAAACAAAATAATTTGAACCATTTTTATTGGGAAACTGGGGGCAAAAGCAAGCTCAGAAAAGTTTCAAAGGTGTGCTTGATGCCAAGTATGATTTAAAGCCCTGCATTCTAGAACCCCTGAGTGACACCAGAGGGCCATGTGCCGGGCCGTGATTTCACTCAGCTCCCCATACAGACGGCAATTTTGCTTGTTTTAAATTATTTATTATTTTGTGTTCCCAATTAAGCTATAATGTGACAGGCAAGCTATTTTACAAGGCTATAAAGAAAATAATCACGCTCCCCAGCGAGGAAACTACAAGGCCAAAAGGTGAGTTGTTTATATCAGGGAGAGACCCACATTACCACATTGAAAAGCAGTAGGCATGGCTTGTTATTGCCGCTGCGAGTAAAAATGGCTATAGAACAGAACAAGAGAAACTGGTTCCCAGCCTCCTTGAAAGCACTTATTTTTAAAATAATGACAAAACTGTCTGTGTTTGCATAAGAAGCAAAAATGATTGATAGACGGCCTGGAGGGAGCCAAGTCTTACCCCCAAATTAGGGCCACAGGGACAAGGAGGTGCTGAAAGGGTCCGGAGCAGAAAGATCACCCGGGCTGGATGAATGGCGGAAAAATCTAACAGTAGATTAACTTGGCTTGAGGGTCCCATCTTCTGAACACGCTGAACACACCATATCTTAAATTCAAATTAGCCCGTCTATGGAAAACGAAAATGGTATTCTGAGTCCTGCCTTGTCATTATGGTGGTTTATGGGAAGCCCAGATGGCTACATATGGCCACCAGACGGGAGCTGGTCTTCAAAACAAAAACAAAATAAACCAAAAAGCCCTCACCCTCAAATAAAGACAGAGGAACTCACCTGCTGAGAGGCCCCATGCATTTCAGCTGGCAGTAGCTGGTGACAAGTGAGCCCAGAGGTGAGAGGGGGAAGGCGCTGGGGGAGTGTGTCACCAGAGCTGTTTTCATCTCCCCGTGGTGGGTGGCACAGGGCTGTTTGTGGGCTGTGGGTTTGTGTATCTGAGATGTTGCAGGAAATGGCGAGGAAAGAAGGATGAAGACAAAGCGTATGGAGTTTCCATTGATTCAGCCAAGTCCATACCAGAAGAGAAGTGCCCTTCTTCAGAACTTACAATGCAATGTGTGAGAACGGATGGGTTACATCTTGTATTACTCACAGGGGGCCCCCACTGCTCAGAATAGGGCCAGCCTTAGAAGGCACTCTGAACCATTCTCTGAACCAAGAATCAGCAAGTGATTGAATCTAGAAGACTCGTATTGATCAGCCTCAAAAGAAACCAGTCCTATCTCCTCGGTCTCTGAAGAAATTCATTCTCTTGAAAAGCAATTCAAAAAGAGCTTTCCTTAATACGCATTAGATAAACAATGAGGCAGCCTCCCAGCTTTCTCTCGGAAAGCTTTCACCAGCTTTCCTCTTTTATATCTTTTCAATTCATTCTCATCCTTTTTGTTCATTTCTTTCCTACTTTGAGGCTTTGTTGTTCAAAAGCTAGCTCATATAATTTTTTAAATCTTTGTATTCATGTGTCCCCAACTAGAGCATGATCTTTTTCTGGGTGGTAGGTACTCCCCAAAATCTTTGCATGTATTGGGGCTCCAGCGAGTAGGTGTTGGTCATGAGGAGGGATGACCAGCTAAGGG